ATGACAACCTCCCAACTGGCCCTGACTTTGCGCCACCCTCCTCCCCGTGTGCCTGTCTCTGGGGACGGCGCCCACAGTGCCGGCCGCGTGCCATCTCGCTGAGCTTTGCTCTGTCCCCAGGCTGGCGAGGGAGAGGGACTCGCTTAGGAGAGCCAGAGGCCCCACTGCTCAGGGGTTGTCACGTCCCTGGGGGCCGCACCCACCGTCAGAGGGTCCTGAGCCTGTGATCCAGCCCGAGACGGTCTGGCAGGGGAGCCCATCTCAGGAGGGGACGGGTCACACCCCCACGGGCCCCCAGCACAGATGTGGGAAATGCTCCCCGCTCTCGTCTGATGGGTGAGCGCAAGCAGCGCAGACACTTGGGGCCACTCCCTCCCTGTCCCCTGTCCCCCCAAGTATGAGGACTTGGTGAACCACAGAGAAGCCACCAGAGGCACCGGCGATGGGCCCCTGAATTCAGAGGCAAGAAACGCGGCCGCGTTGCTGGGGAACATGTTTTAATGGCGATTTCGAAGGGAAACGCTTCACACCAGCACAGTCTGACCGGATGGGAGTCATCTGAGACGTGCCGAGCCCCGAGCAGGGGCAGCCCCTCTGGGAGGGGCAGGACGCCTCCGCCCTGAGCCTCGTCAGTCACCAGAGAGGCCCACGGGCTGAGTCACAGGGTTCGGTTTTCGGTGGTAAAATATCCATAATGTAAATGTGGTCACGTTAACCGCAGCTCAGTGGGGTCGCATCTCATCGCTGCGCGAGCACCATCCGCACGAGGTTGCGAAGCATCTTCGTCGCCCCGAACGGGGACCCCACACCCGTTCAGCAGTCGGGTCCCCACCCCCGTTCCCCGGTCCCTGGCACCCTACGCTGCTTTCGCCTGTTCTGGGTGTTTCATGGAGACGGGACTGTGCGTCTTTGGTTCGCTGCCCGTGTCCCCACCACGTGGCAGCGGGGACCAGATCCTCGTCCCTTCGCGTGGCTGGGTATTGCTCTGCCATGCGGCCGAGGCCTGGCGCGCGGCCATTCTGCAGCTGGTGGCCGTTCGTGTCGTTTGGCTGGACAGTGCTGCTCCCGATGCGAGCCAGCCAGTGTCTGGCCGCCGCTTTGGCCTCTGCGGCTACAGCCCCAGATGGGGGCGGCGGGGGTGACGGGGACGGCTGGGGGTGGCCGGGGTGGCCGGGCCGGCCGGCTCTCAGAAGTTCCGCGGCTAGAGGGCTGCCAGGAAGTCCACCAGTTTACAGACTGGGAAACTGAGTCCCAGGCACTTGCCTAGGCCGGGGCTGGGTGCAGGCAGTTGTCCCCCGCTGCACGCTCTGCATCAGCGAAGCCTCGTTCGGACGCTCAGTCCCCCAGACCAGAGACGACGGTGGCTGGGGACGCGGGACCCGTCAGAGAAGCCTGCGGGGGAAGGAGCCACACGCGGTCCGTGCTGGGCACAAGGACGCAACTCGGCGCGAAGTCCACTGTGGAGGCCGCAGGGAGGGCCCGAGCGGGGACACGGACGAGCCCTCGGGACG